GCAACATCAAGATTAAATAAGCATAGCTTAATTTTTAACATAAAAAGCTTAATAAATAATTGCAGTCATTAATTAAAAAAAATAAACAAACTTTGCTTATAAATTCAAGAACTAATAAATCGTGAGACATGGCTAAAAGCCCTTTAAGGCTGCTTCTTTCAAAATGCAGTATATCAACTGCTTAAAAAGATGTAAGATTCCTTTAAAATGCTGGAACACAGCAATTGAGGAACTGCTTTTTTAAGAGCTTATAAAAATACATTTTAATCTAAAAGCTTTGGTAAGCACATCAGTCAGCTAAACAGCATCAAAAGAAATGGTCACCAGTCACGTCTTCAAAAACAAAGGCAATGTTTGGGGCTATTGTTTCAGGGTAAACCTAGAGAAGGAAGACTTAGAATAAAAGGACCACTTACCTTACTTATCTCACTACTACTCCAATTTTCCTGAAATGTTTTCTTCTTCAGCACACGTCCCCAGCTTTTATAAATGCCATACTTTTAATGAAACCTTCACCCTTGCTACTGGAGTGCCTGCTTACGTTCTTACACTGGTTTTGCACTGATGGGTCAATTACATTCAGTGACCTAAACTAAGAATTTCTTGGTTCACTCTAGAGCAAAGAAAGTCAAAAGGACACCTCCAGGAACACTACTATGATGAATGCATTTCACACTAAACTATCACAAAAATAGAGGACATAACATAAGAATCTAACAACTGGTTATGCCAAAACAATACAGAGAAGTGTCTAATTTTGAGTCTTTACAACTCAGTTTATCACTGAACATGAGAAAAGCAGGTCACATTTGCACATAATATTTTATATTGACTATTTAACTGTCAAGTATGTATTTATAAAATCCACAGATAGCACCAATTTTTGGAAGAATGGTGAGCACTTTGAAGGATAGGATTGTAGTTCAGAACTTTCTTGGTAAATTGAACAAAGCTGTACACTTAGAAGGAATAAAATGCACAGACAGAAAATGAGGAATCACAACGTAGGCAGCAATACATGCAGGAAAGAATTTAGGACTTTATCGTGGACCTCCTGTACAATACTGAGATGCTCCTGCAATACAGGCAAGTTGCATACACTTAGAGGATTCTGCATGAAGACAAGGGAAGCAATTGCGATACTCCGAAGGATTATTGTGTCTAGATTCTATATGATTTTATGCTGAGGGTCCAGATTGACTGTTGTGTACAATTCTGGGGAATATAAATAAGACTGAACTCTCAACTTGACTGGCAAAATTGAAAAAAAGATGCCCTACAATGAAAATATTAAAATTTTAATAAGAAACAGGTAGGGAGTGTGTGGAACTGGAGAGAGAACAAGGGAAATTTCAGAATAACTGTCTCATAAGATATCAAGAAAGTTCTTAATTCAGGAAGAAAGTCTGATAAAAGACCAATTTAACCACTATTAGTGAAGACTGAGTTTAGATGTTAGTAAAAGCTCTATAAAGTTTTCCTTAAATTTCCTATAAAATGTAATATATTGAAGTGTTTGAACAGGCCACCTGGAGAGATGAATTTTTTGTTGTTGTTGAACACTTCTTCAGAACAGATTCAGAAAACATCCACCAAGAATTTTCTTTAAATATTTAATCTTCCGCAGAGAGTGACAGAGATAGATGAGATGAGGTTCAGCACTAAATTTCTATTATTCTACATTATTTACCAGACTAAATCTGTTACATTGCATACATATGTTGATTAAAATGGCCTGTATGGATACTGTTCTATAGTCAATCAGTGCTTGATTGTTGCCCTCGAGTATAATTTGCCTTCAAACAATTTGCAGACTGTTGCTAAACATTACAAAAGAGAAAGATCAGCAGTCTGCATGACAACAGTTGGGAATGGCTTGTGTTAAGAGGCCAATGGGACATGATATCCAAAGCTTTCAGAGTGTTGCACTGCACCCCCAAGTTGTACAATTACCACTGGCATAAGTATTATTATATTATATATCCCCATATTATTATATCCCCAAACTTCTATGACTGAATTTGGCACCTCCAGTTCCCCAGCCACATTTAATTTAACTATTTAACATATGTTTGCATGTTTGTGGGAGACAATGCGATTTGTTTATTTTAAAGCCAAATTGTGCCCTGGGTGTGCTACAAGGACAAAGAAAAAGAAGTTTGACTGCATTAAATAAACAAACAACAGTAAAATCACATTTTAAAGTCTCAATTTTCTCAGAGGAAAACAGATTTAGAATGATGGAGTCCAAACTACACTTCTCTAAAGGTCTCTACTCCATGGCAAGTATAAAGGGTAACCAAAAAAAGTACAGAAAAAAATACGTGTGTCCGACCAAGAATTTTAACAGCTGTGCTATTTATAGGATCAAGACCCTGCCGCTTAAAGATTAATGAAGATTGACTGTACCTGCTGACGGTAAATGAGTAAATGAGCCACGAGGAGATTGTAAAAGGCAGAGCAAAGCCCCTGCAGGGTGAACTCATGGTAGATGCTCACTGCACAGTCATCCTTTGCAATGGGCTGCAGAACTCAACCTGCTGCAGCATGACTGTGACCACTGAAAACAGTGGTTTTCCAGCCTGAGTGTACCATGTCCGTATCAGTCACTGAGATGTTAGTCCTTATTTAACACCTTGCTACTCCAGCACATGTCCCTTTACAGCACTTTGAGGCATTACACCTGTTGAACACTCAATAGCTGTGCAAAACAGAGGCCACAGCCCCAATGGGATCTTGACCCAAGTACAGTGTGGATTCAGGTTTTCCCCATGAAATACATTGCAACCCATACTTCATGATCTGAAAGTGGCACTCAAAGGCTTGAAAATATGGTGTTTTACAGTCTCTGAGGCAGGGGGGGAAAGCACATGTCTTATTTGATCGACTTTCATTTCTTTCTATCCTGGTTACACTGCAAAGTCTTGCTAATATGAGTGAAGCACTTTGCTTCATGCAGTGCATTCATGTGCTTTGTTTTGACTATTATTTGAACAGTAAATACGTCTCCTCATGGAGGCAGAGGCTTATGCCAGTAGTCCAGAAGTAGCATTTAGTCTCTTGCCACTATTAAGGAATTTTCACTGAGTTCTGTTCCACTAGGTAATTCATTGAATAACATATTCTCCATCTGAGCAAGGAAATACATAACTGCGAGTGGCATGCAAGTTATTGTACACACAGTTTTTTCTTACTCTGCACAGCTGTTTAGACACCATTAGGATCTTCCCATTATAATAAAAACACAGTGCAAACCTTTGAACTGAACTTCTTTTTTTCTCCTCTAGTTACTAGCGCCTAGCCATGATACAAGAGACATCGGTATTTATCACTGTAAGCATTCATTGGATACTTAAATAAGAATCTTAAATCTGTATCAACACAGGCAGAACTGGCAGGCACTATCTGAATGAAATTCAGTTAATTGTGCTAATGCAGGATGAGCACAATGAGTACTGTTCGTGCCACAGAAATACAAACTTAGTTATGCATAAAATTTGAAACTCTCATCTGCCAATTAGAATACTGATTTCAGATTGCAATCCATACAATAAAGCTAATTAAACAATCTTCCCTCCACTGAGATCCATTGGGCTTTTTTTTGATCTATATAGAATTTCCATTTGCATCCCACTCTGCTGACTTCAAAATTCCTCTGCACTTCAGCAAAGCTTAGTGAGTTTCTCACTACATTACGAGTTAGACATATGCCTGGCCATAAAGGCAAAACTCAGGCCAAGTCCTTCCCATTAGCCACAGCTGTAGAGACATTAACAACTGAAATACAGAAATGAATGGTGACGAGTTTCTTTTAAAATAGATGAAGCGCTGCCATTTCTGCTTCTTAACATTAGCTGATGTTTAATGCTAGTTGGTTTTTGTTTTTTTTAAACTGTCCATATTTAACAGGTTTCTCCCAAATAATATTAGGAAATTGTTTCATTTTAAGGAAGATGGGGTTATTCCAACATCAAATAAATCCTCGCTTATTCTAGATTTTCTTACAAAACACGTGAAAACCAGAAAGAGGCCTCTAGGCAAACTCAATAGGAAAACAGGGCAAATACTGATTGAGTTTGCACATCATATTTGCTGTATACAAAAAACAGAAGATGCTTCAAGAAGACATGCTAGGATAAAGTTGATTTCTGTCTCCTTGTAGATCACCAAAATTAGAACCTTTGAGTATTTCCCTTGAAAACATAGAAATGCTTCTTTGAGGCAAGTGAAATCTTCTATCTATAAATCATTATTAAAATTACTATCAATATTATTACCCATGTAACCAATATCATTCAACAATATTTCTACATTTGGAAAGTCAAATAGCAAACAATACCTCATCTGAGACTCAACAAACAACAAACCTACATAATTTCTACCTGCTTTCATAAATATGATGTGTATTCTCAATTTCCAGAACTCTTTTCATGCAATGTGATCTTGAAATAGCTAGAAATGCTATTTTGTGAATCATCACTCTGGATTCCGATCCTTTTAATAATGACAAACAACTTTTCATCCCACTGAATGTGTTCGTTAAGTAAAGTACTACTGAGCATCAATAAAACAGCGGAATCTAATTTATGACTGAAAAACAGTCATTACAACTGTGACAAACACTTCTCAGAGGCATAATCTGCATCTGAATGGACAAAAATATCTAGGCAAAGAAATACAAAAAGCAAAATGTGAATAAAACAATTTTCATATTCACTTTGGATAACAAATTCAGGTGTCCTAGGCTCTAGTCCAAATAACTGATGCTTGTGTTTAAGAATGTGGGAAGGTGAGCTGAACTGAAGGTACAAAAGTCTTGACCTCTTGAAGAGGTTGCATGGAATATAAAATATGCTATGATGTTCTCATGTCAACATCCACAAATATTTATGCTTACTTAAGCATAATCTGCATTCTGCTGTGCAAATAACATCTCCCTTTGAGCCAAGCATACGGTAAGAAAGACTCCTAGAGGTACACGTCAGGGAAAGTTCTCTCACCTGAAAAGTTCCTGCATGGTCTTCTTCTTTGTCACCTTCTTTTCCTTCCTTGAGAGCAATCAATGTGAATCCTCGAAAGTAAGCAGGAGTGGCAGCAGAAAGTGTCACTGAGATATAATAAACAGAGAAATAATGAAAATATAATATTAATTGTGAAATCAGCCACTTGCATATCATTTCGCAGTTCAACTTGAAAGGTGTGTGTTTTAAGTTGGTATTAACAAAAGCTAGAGCACTAACAACACGGAGCAGAGCCAGCCAGAATACAAAAGTGTTCAGTCCAAGTTTCCAAATAAACTGAAAAACACTGGCATGATGTGAAATACAACTTTTTTTTTTTTTTTTTTTTAAAGCAGATTGCTAATCTGCTCAGATCTACAAGAGAGTTATTTTGGTGGTGGTGGTGGGGGGTTTTGGGGGCGGGGGCACAGTTTGTTTTTTTTTTTTTTTAAAGCAGATTGCTAATCTGCTCAGATCTACAAGAGAGTTATTTTGGTGGTGGTGGTGGGGGGTTTTGGGGGCGGGGGCACAGTTTGTTTTTTTTTTTTTTTAAAAAAACATTTTTTTTTTTTTTTAAAAAAACATTTTTTTTTTTTTTTTTAAAGCAGATTGCTAATCTGCTCAGATCTACAAGAGAGTTATTTTGGTGGTGGTGGTGGTGGTTTTGGGGCAGGGACACACGTTTGGTTTTTTTCCTTTGGGTTTTTTGTGTTGTTTTTTATTTTTTAAAAAAACGTGAGGGAACGTCTCCTGAATATTTGGCTTCAGCTTTTGTCCTGCTCTGAGCATAGACAAGGATCTAGGCATTTTAGTACACAGAAAGTTTCTTTAACTGTAAAGCAAGATGACCACATTGTCTGCTCCAGCTCAGCTACACTCAACACAGTAGTCCAGCTGATGGAGATGGTCGCTCTAGAACTATCCTTCCTCTCCCTTAACCTCAGGGCAGAACAGGACACGAAGTTAAACTCATGGCTAAAGCTGACCTCTAAAGACTGTGTTGCCGGCTCCGATTGCCAAAGCATCCTACATATCAGCAAAACACCCTTCTTCACACACCAGTCCTGACCGGGAAGGCATCATTGGATCCACCAGCAGAGAATAAATAACGTAACGCCGACTAATCTGATTTTACCACGCTCAGCATCAGGATTACATCCCTCATTTTCTGCTGGTGCAAGATACCTTTTTATGATTTTTCTATTTGCCATCATCGGTACCTAAGCACCACCCAGCAACACTTGAGTTATGTCAGCTGTGGCTCTTTTGAACACTGTCAGAAAGATGGAATGAGGCAGAGCTTTGAGGCAGGACTTTCGGGGCAATTTTAAAATTACTGAATCCTTTTCAACACCTTATAGGAATCCTTTTCTGAAACAGAGGTAAATTTTAGGGAAAAAAATCTTTCTGAATTAAAGGAAAAGAGACAGAAAACTGGACTACTAATACCTTTAAGTAGCTTTTACTTTAAGCATAATGCAGACAGCGTTGCTTGTAGGACACTATTGTCACACTCTCAAACCCTGACTGGCACAATAAAAACTGAAGACCACCCAGAGTTTTCATGAGCAAACTGCAACTACCAATGCTGTTTCATAGAAGAGTATTCACAATAGACTCCATCTCACACAAATAGGCTGTGAGGGGTTGAAACACATTACTAAAAATGACAGATTGCCCTTAAAAGATATGGATTTCAGAATATGTCCAGAGTTTATTTGGAACATGTAAAGAGCTCTTTGATCTAGAAATTCAATAGTGGAAAAATACAAAATAGGCTATTTGAAGATTTCTAGTATTGCGCAGCTGTACTGGGGTCTGAAAACCACAATGTTTGTACCACTACATAACTTTTCTGACTATATGTGAAAAAAGGAAGATTGGAGAGATACACAAAAGGTTGAAAACTGAAATGCAAGTGACATGTTTAGACCTGTACACCTGCAAACACCTGTACAAATCTAGAGTAGTGATGGGCATGATAGGAAGCCCCCCAACTCTCAAGATTTTCAGCATACTTTTCATTCCATGGAACCTTATTATGAGGTTAAACATAATTTTTGAGGAGAAAAACTTTCACATTTTATATACAGGAACTGAGTAGTAGCATAATAGCATTAAAATTTCTGATTACGTTTCTAAGTATTGTTCCAATTCATTAATTCATTATCTGCCCAATAATTAGTATTAGCCCAATTTTGCAAAATTTTGCAGCTCTATCTAAATGCAAATCCACAGCCAGCCTCTCAGTTGCAGTAATTGAGAACAGCACTCAACTGCTGAACTCAACAAGGATGAACGCATTACACTTGCTTGATCACTGATTCGTAGAAACTAGTTGCCGTAAAGGTCTTTTACATGCAACAATTTTTTCCATATATTATATGTAATTCAAAAGTCTGAATCACTATGAGTAAAAGGTTACACCAGAAATACTTAAGTACTTATGCAAGCAAACAGAGAATCCAGCTGTGAATTGACTCAACAGTTTTCATCATTTTCCTCATAAATTTACAGATCAAACCAAACAGTTTTCGAAATTCTAAACAAAACACCTACCTATAAAATAGAGGACATCTGAAATGCTACAAAAGCCATCAGAGGGGGGGGGGGAAAAAAAAGAAAGAAAAAAAAAAGAAAAAAAGGAAGATAATTCCAAAGCCTGACTCATAGTTTTTGAATGCCTGGGGCTAGCAATACTCATGCTGTGGCTGCACAGTCATTTTAACCCAGAATAAATCCATGCTTCCTCCAACATGAGTGATCCTGCCCTCCCCCCCCCGCACTGCTCGTACAGCAGCCGCATCCAGGCAGCTGTACTGTCAGCCGAACTAGGGAACACATCCAGCTGAAAAGTAAAACAAAACAAAAAACGCCAACTGGAGAGTTCAGCTGGGTCCAATCCCTGAGTGGCTGCACTGTGCAGCCCCAGGAGCACTTCTGCCAGTGGTGGGGACACCCGGATACGTGTGAGGGGCCGGGAGGGCGATGACCCGCAGGAGCAGAGTGGACTGGTGAGATTTAAGTGTCCGTGCAACCTCAGCTGAAGGGTACCAAGATGAACGTGCGCTTTGGTCATCCCTGAGCTAGGCCAGAACAAACGCTAACATCTGAGCTGAAAAGACTTCTGTCAGTTCTCGGAACTATCCAGTGTGCTAAGATAACATTGCAGTGCAAGGCTTTATTTGAAGCACTCCTAAATACAGAGCCTTGTTATGGTGATGGTTCTGTAGTTGCTGGCTCTGGACTGATTGTTTCAGCACAGAAGGAGGAGGCTTGCATTGCACAGGCAGCAGTGGGAAGCTGTCAGACTACATCTGGTTTTCACAAGAGATAGCGGCTCCTTGTTGCATAAGAGTTGAGAGCTCTCCTTTTGGGCTAAACTGCCATTTTAAAGAACAGCTAAGTATTGCTCACACTGTGTTCACATTAATTAACGTTCACTGAACAATATGAACCTCCTGAAACGTTCAGTTAAATCTCAGTGCAAGTCTCAAAGTTAAGGATTTTACTTTAAAAGGAAGATTACATCAACAGTTACTTTTGTCTGTTTCCATCCCCTCTGGCAAACCTCTAATCACCTCACAAGTTGCACTTTGGCACACATCTTCAACACACTCCTCTTTCCCCAGTGTCCCCAGCTAAAGGTGGGGTGATCAAAGCAATTGCTCCTTTGGTTTCAGGCAGGAAATCTGACTTTCCACATCCTACGCTACAGCACATCCTGTGTTGTACATTGCACAAGTACCAACCAATACACTTTTAATATCTACTTTTATCCATAATTTGTGAAACATGAGAATCGCTGAAATATTTACAGAGTAAGGGTTTACATGAGAGTCGCTGAAATATTTACAGAGTAAGGGTTTATTTGTAAAGTATAGAAAAGAGCGTTTACATGTTGGAGGGAAGAAAGAAATGGAAAGAAAAAGATTCAACATTCCTTAGAAATTCTCAAACTAATGCAATGGAGTGTATAATGTTAACTGAGCTCGTCCTTGAAAACTGAGGTGGTGAACAGACCTACAGGTGGAAATTCCATTAAAAACAGAAACAGCACCTACATAGAAGGTATATCTAAGCACTATACTAGTCAAACCCTCATTTTCTTCATCAGAATAACAATTTCAGAAAATTATGGAGGAAACTATGTACATTGCATGTTAGCACGTGAAATGGACATACTACTGCCTTTTTTAGAAGCAATTTCATTTATAATTTTAAGTAGGATGAAACACCCAATTTTTCATGGAAATCTCATGCAATCATTAATCTAACTCTACAGATCAATAAAGCTAGGACTGAGTACTTTCAAGGATCATTATCCTGTAACACCATCTAAACTTCAGGCTCATTTGTGCCCTTTGAATGCAATGGGAACTTTGACCTTCGGTGGAAGCAAGAGCAGCTACATCAAGGTCTAAGCTAACCAGCAGGTAGGAGAGGACCTCAGCCCCAGGATGGCGTGCCCACAAACCTGGTACTATGGGAAGACCTGCCCACCACATGCATTCGGCTGCCTTCTCCACAAGGGGAGAGGCAACAATATTGCAGCCTGAAAGATCAGGCAGGTGAAGGCCACTTGCAGGTTACAGCATCAAGAGTCCCAAATAAGATGTTAGAAATCAGTCATGTCACCTGCCCCTTGGGACACCATGAAGCCCATAGCCATTGTTGCTTTGTTAGACATTAAGGAGGAAAGGAGGATGGCTCCTCAGCCCTGCTGCTACCTCATTTTTAATTGTCTGAAACAGGAGAAAGTGTCCTTGTTTACTGCTGCCGGTGTTTGCAAACCAGAGGAGGTGCATACCCATTCAAAGAGGTTATTCAGTGCTCAGGGCCATTTTCCTCTATCACAGCTCCAGAGAGGTGGAAAACCAAGGCTTCCATACACACAGATCCACCCAGGATTTCCCGCTCTGGGCAAATAGATCCTGGTTGATCTAAAGGTGAGTAACTGCAGGAAAGCCATACAAATGTTCCCAAAGACAAATGGCAGCTGTGAATTGTGGTCTTCCGATTCCCACACTGCAAGAGTGCTGCGAGGTTTCCTCCAGTCACTGCAGCTTGAGGGTCTTACGTGGGTGTCACGTCAACCAATGATCGAGAGAATCATGAACATAAATGGATGCCTCTACACTGTCAATTTGGTGGAGTATGGCATTTGTATGCCCAGTTAATTCCTGTGTTATCCACCTTGAAGAAATACTAGTTTATTCCAGGAGCCTGCTAGGGTATGTGCCAAGGATCCAGACTGCATTAAAATCAAACAGGGGCCATGGAAACAGGCACATTTTGCACAACCTCCGTTGCGTTGGAGCCAATCTTCTCCAGTGTTGTACATCTAGTAATTTACAGATAAAAAAATCCCACAGACCTCCCATAATCCCAATCCCGCATTTTTTTTATCATGAGTTGGATTTTCTACCCTTTGTTTAAAACAGTAATAAAGTTCCAGCTGTACTGCAGAATTTCCTTTGAAAATGAGCTCTTGAAACTTTCTGTAATGCTGTTAGTTTTAACTATTGCCATAGATAATATATATATGTTACGGTAACATTTACTTATGTTCTTCCCACCATTCAGAAAGTGTCCTTAAAGGACTATCTAGATAAGCTGATGTGCCACCTGAATACTTCAATCTTAAATATCAAAAACTTGGGCACGTATTTTGGTCTACATTTTAACTTTTTACTATTAGCTGTAATTTTCTCACTTCCTAGAAGCTACAATATACTAATGTGTTTTTATTAATTGAGTTCTTAATGCCAAGACCTAATATCTCCAGAAAATTAGTTCTGCTAATTCTTCTGGGAGTTTCTTTCCCCAAACATTTCCATGCAGTAGAAACTTCTTTCGTAGATGACTGAAAATATCCCATAATGTTTTTACAGAAGTAAATTCCAAAACTTTTTTAGAACATTCACATTCGTCACTGCCAAAGAACTTGACACTTATCTTTATCCTGTTTAGTAGACGTATCAAACTGACATGCAACATGAAATCTTTCAGACTCAAGGTACTAATCCTAATGTCTGGAACAGTTAACCAGTTTGTGGGAAATGTGCACTTCCTCACACCACATTAAAATAAATCAATTCTTGAGAAAAAAATTAATCAGAAATCATGCAAAGTTATAGGCTGATGCTCAAAACAGGTTAATCACTGCTGCAGAAGTATTTTTCAACCTTTAAGACAACATGATGATTATGCTACGTGCAGGCTTTTTTCTCCCCACCTATACTAAGATTCCCATGTTCATGCAACGGAAAAACATCGCTCTTTACACTGAATCTAAGGAAGGTCAGGAGAAACACTTAGAAGAAACTCTCAAAATTTGTTTTCCAAAGTGATGCCTATAAAGTACATTAGTACCTAAAACCGCCCAAATTCTTTTCAAAGTGCTTTTAAAATACAAAGTTAACAGTATACTCCAAGAAGGTTTGTTTCCAAAGGCATTATATGGTGAGGCAGGAAAAGTGACCAAAACCCGCTTTTGCCTATTAATTAGAAAAATATGCCGAAATGTGCTTTGGAAGTTAATTTCAAGGATTGCATGTGAAATGCTCAGCGGAGAACGAATGCCTCCATCTCTTATTTACAGCGGTCATTAGCACCGTCTCTGCCTCTTTCCTGTTTGAACCATCTGTTCATTTCCCCAGAAAAAAAAGGGGGGTGGGATAAACACAAGTGGAAAATGTGGGAAGTTGGCAGCGTGCTGCATCACTGTTTGCCCATATGCTAACTCATTATATTAACATTCATATTTCAGGGCAAGAACAATTAGCTCCGAGTTTCCTCTCCTTCCTGCCGAACGTTAAAGCTTCTACTATTCACTGTGTTGTATTTAAAGGGATAGAAAGTAGGTAAACGGGGGAAGAGCGTGTTTTGTACCACATCAACTTGTGATCTTGTGCTAGCGCTGAGACAGTAGAGAAGATTCATAAAAGAAAGGAAATTCCTCTTAATACTGAGTTAATGTTTGGGAGCAAAGCGATACTGTGAAATCCAACTCCCTCTCACTTGTCATGAAAGCATCCCCAATAAAGTAATGCGTGGGAGTATATTACCCCGTCTTAACCCACACAATGACACACACACACACGCCAAAAGGGATACAGAGATGACAGGCAGAGACACGTTATCGGTTCGGAGACACTTGTCCTGGCCATTATCGTTAGTACGGGAAGTAGAGGATGGCCAACTTACCCCGGTAACTGTTTCCAGGCTTGTAAAATTCTGGATCGCCCTCCACCCTGAGGCTAAATTCATTATACCCTTCCCTCCGGGTGCCTTGGGCTCGCAGGATCCGACTGCAATATCCCTCGGATTTCGCGGCTTTCTCCAAGGTTTCGTCAGAAAAACCCTTCGCCACCAAGGGGAAAGTCAACGCCAGAAGCCGCAGGGCTAGAGGCTGCAGATGCGCTCCCATCCTCGGCGCTCCGCACAACTTTTTATCGTCGGGGCGGCGGCGGTGCCTGGGGGCCCGG